TCACTTGGCTACTGAACTGCGCATGTGCGGTCATGTAGCTAGGAATTTCAACACTAAGGTCTGGGGGCCTGTTACAGACCCACAAATAAAGAGAGAACCAACTCCCACAAGGCATCCTTAGGCTTCCACACGCCATGCTATGGCACTCGTGTCCTTAAGGATATGAGCATGCATACACACAAAACACAAGGTAGGTAAATAAATTATGAATTTAATAAAAAACAAAACAACCTCATGAAACTGGTATCATGTTGGAACATGGTATTTGGAATAAACTGGGTTCCTGGGCCATGGCCACTATATTTGGTACCAAAATAAACTGGCTCTTAGTCCCTTTGAAGTGAGAGTTGACTTTTATGTTGATATGTGGTCTAAATTCCATAGGATAAAGACCTGAAGGAAGTCAGGGTCCACTGTGCTAGACCTCCCATCCTATAGCAAAATTATTCTGTAGGGTTTTTTTTTTTCTTTTGGACAAGGTTTTATGTAGCCCAGGTTGACCTCGAACTCAGTATGTAGCTGAAAATGATCATAACTTTTGATCCTTCTGCCATGAACCACCATGCCTGGCCTTTTCCAAGCTCCTTTAAAGAGTTTCCGGGGTGTTTCTGACAGTCTGAATTTAGAAGCCATTAGCCCACAGGTTAATATCACATGCCTTGGAAAACAAAGAAGTGTAGACAATCTGTAGGCTACCTCTCCAGCCACATTTCCTGGAGCTTGACAATGTGCCTGCCTGGTTCCCCAACACCCACTGGGGACCTCTCCTGACCTTTCTTTTTGGAAACTTCAGGTCATCCATCCATCAATCCTCAGTCCAAATGCTTTCACAGGAAAGCCTGCTCTGTTTCCCCAGAAGTAATTAGTCTTGTTTCTTTTGAGGTCCCACCTCATATCTCTTTTACAACTCTTGTTTCAGAAATCTGTTTCTGCTTGGCGGTGGTGGCACATGCCTTTAATCCCAGCACTTGGGAGGCAGAGGCAGGCAGATCTCTGTGAGTTTGAGGCCAGCCTGGGCTACAGAGTGAGTTCCAGGACAGCCAGGGCTACACGGAGAAACCCTGTCTCGAAAAAATGAACAAAGTGTCTACCCTTATCTACTCTTGGTTAATCATACCAAGACAGATGGGTGTGGTCACACTGGGAATAATCCCAGCACTGGGAGGGGAGGTGGGAGCAGGTGGAACAGGAGTTCGAGGCCAGCCTCAGCTATGTATCAAATTGGCGGCCTGGGCTCCAAGAGACCTTTTCTCAACACAGATGGAACAAAAATGGAGCAGGAGAAAGCTGTCAAACCACTGGGGACTGGAAGGTCACAGACACAGGGTAAGAGAAAGCTGAGCGTGCGGCCCTCAGGAGGCCGAGGCAGGGGTGTTATTTGAGGACAGTCTGAGCTATGTTATAAGATCCTGTTCCCAAAAGAAAATCAAACCAACCAAAAGTAAATGTCCCACACCTGTGATCCTATTGCTCTGGATGCAAAGACAGGTGAACTGTTACAAGTTCAAGGCCATACAGGGCTACACAGGGAGACCTTACCTAAAAACTAAGTGAAAATATGGGGTAAAAAATTAGGGACTCCGGACGGTGGTGGCACCCGCCTTTAATCCCAGCACTCAGGAGGCAGAGGCAGGCCGATCTTTGTGAGTTCGAGGCCAGCCTGATCTACAGAGCCAGATCCAAGAAAGGTGCAAAGCTACACAGAGAAACCCTGTCTCAAAAAAAAAAAAAATTATTAAGGGTTGGGGATTTAGCTCAGTGGTAGAGTGCTTGTCTAGCAAGCGCAAGGCCCTGGGTTCAGTCCTCAGCTCTGGAAAAAAAAAAAAATTAGGGGCAAAGGATAGGCTAGTGAAGGGAATGAATATTCATGTATTTTCCAGGAATATTCATGTATTTTCCAGAGATTTTTCTCAAAATTGAACACCACCTCTTTTCACACAGTGTTTACGCAGGGCAAGAGGGAGAATAATATATTGGTTGCAAAGGGATCAGATGAGAGGAACATGTATTTCTGATGAAGAATGACGTCTAGTAACTGAAAAAGTATGTAGGTTATAGAGAACTGGGGACTCGCTTCTTGGTGGCGCAATCAACAGGTCCTTGCTTTTGTTCTGTGCTAGTGTTTTGTTTCTGAGGGGAGGTCTCACTAGGTAGCCCTGGAGTTCACAATGAAAACCCAAGGGGCTGTAACTTCCCAGGGACCATCTTGCTTCTCTATCCTAAAAGCTACCGGTCTGCGCCACCAGGCCCCACTTGCCATGACATGGTTAAGAGGAAACAGGCCAGGGATATAGCTCAGTGGTAGCACCACCTGACTCACACACACAAGGCCTGAGTCCAATCCCAGAAGTGGAGAGAGGAAGGTAATGAGATGCCTGAAGGCTAGTTGTGTGAAGCAGTTTGGAAGTCAGGATAAAGGTGAGAAATGGAGATTGTTTCCCTCTACCTAGCCTTAGGTGAAAGGTGACTGAGGCAAGGAGATGGACAGAATCCCCTAGCAGGAGAGACAAATCCTGGAAACGTTAGTATTTCAGAATTGGTAAGAGCAGAAAATCACCAGGTGCCACCGAAGATAATGTATAGACAACATGCTGGGTAGGCTATGGGACAAATATCCCCAAGGTAGGCCTTGGAGAGGATGTACTGGCCATGCATAGGGACACACTGACCTTAGCAGTAGCTTCAGAATAGAGAGCTGTGGGTTAAATAACGTACCAGTTCCGAATGCACCCTTTTGGCCAGGTTTGTGCAAGTAAACATGAAGCTGTGTCAGCAGAGGGCACTAGAGAGTCCCAGCAAGGGAAAAGGGTTATTCCCTAGTGCTGATGGAGACCTGAGGCTGCTTCATCATCCTGCTCCTGCAGTATGTGTGGCACTCACAGCCAGCAGCTTCTCCAAGGGCCTTCAACACACCGGCTGATGCAATTTCATAGAATACCATTTATTAATTTTGTAACCGGAGTTTGTCTGTCCTGACCCGTTCCACAGCTGCTTCCAAATAATCACTCTAAGGCTTATATTAAGTATGTTTGGCTGGGCAGTGGTGGCGCACGCCTTTAATCCCAGCAGAGGCAGAGGTAGAGGCAGGTGGATCTTTGTGAGTTCGAGGCCAGCCTGGACTACACAGGGAGTTCCAGGAAAGGCGCAAAGCTACACAGAGAAACCCTGTCTCGAAAAACCAAAAAAAGTATGTTGTTTGGCCAATAGCTCAGGCTTATTACTAGCTAGCTCTTACATTTAAATTAACCCTTTTCTAATCATCTATTTATTGCCCCATGGCATCTTGTTCTTGGGCAGCGGGCTGCCTAGTCTCTCAACCCTGCCCTTCTGCATCTCTGTCTTCAGTTTGAATGTACCTCCTAACCTTATTCTGCCTGGCTATTGGCCAGACAGCTTTATTTACCAACCAATGAGAGCAACACATATTCACAGTGTACAGAAAGACCATCCCACAGCATTATTAATTATTTATTTTTTAGAAAGGGTCTATGGAGTAAGGTAGCTCTCTCGCTGACTGGACTGGAACTCAGTTTGTAGACCAGGCTGGCCTCAAGCTCTCAGAGATCCATGCGTCTCTGCTTCCCAAAGATGGGATCAAAGTGGGACCCTGTCTGAAGAACACCTGAGGTATTCAAAGTGAGACACTTCCTGTGAACAGCTTTCTCCCCAGGACTGTAGCAGAGTCAGCCTGAACCATCATAGTTGTGTCCCAAAAGGCTTTGCTTATATTTCACATCATTTTCACGTGCTAAGTAGCATTATTATGATTTTGTTTTCTCCGAAACATTGAAAAAACACAAGTTTTAGTCACTTTTCTCATTGCTACAACAAAAATACCCGACAAGAGCGACTTATAGAGGGGCAGGTCCGCTTTGGCTCAAGTCCATCGTGGTGGCGGGAATCCGAGGCAGCTGCTCACATTACATCATTGGTCAGCAGTGATGACTGCTGCAGCCAGCCCACTTTCTGTATGCACACATGCCTATTAAGGTAGTCTTCAGTGAAGACCTACAGGATAGGTGGTCTCACGTCCTGTATGTGTAAGCACTCAGGAAAAGCCCCAGCTTGTGGTAAAACGGTAGCATGCTTTCTAGTAGTGCAAACTGAACCCAGGGCCTCTCACATGCACGTCCCACCACTGAACCCTCCCCCCACCAACCCCACCTCAGCTCTCAGAATGTTATTGATGGTCAGGGTCTCACTGTGTAGCCCCAAACTCTCTATCTATGTCTATATAGCCTAGGCTGGCCTCAAAACAGTCATGCCTTAGTCTCTTAAGTGTTGAGATTATAGGCATGAGCCACAACACATTATCAGAGTTTTTTGTTTTGATTTTTATTTCTTTCAGATAGGGTCTCAGATAGCCAAGGCCAGTAAGTCCTTAAGTGGATATGTAGCAGAGGATACCCATCAAACCCTAATCCTCTAGCATTGAAAGGGTTAAACTCTCCACTTTCACAACTGAATTTAGGTTCCAGCTCTCTGAAAAGGACAAACAGGTATCTTTCCCAACAAAGGGCCATTTATCTACAAGTCCTTACATTCAGGGTCCAGGGAGAGAACAGAGAGGGTCTAAGTCAGTGTCACGATATCTCAAGGACAAACCCAGCAGTCCCCTTCTGAGTCACGGCCAAGCTTATGCAGATGTGTCCAAAAATGTTAAGACTAAACCTGGGCCAATTAACAGTGTACTAATGTAACATCTGCATGCTTAACCAGTTATGTACGACCCTGAAACGCCCCTTAGCTGTGCTTAAACGCAGCCTGCACGCTCAACTCAAGGTTGTCTCCATTTTGTACAGGTGAACGACTCAAATTCACGATGGTATGATCAACGCTCTTTGCTCTTGCATACTATTTGAGTCTGGGGTCCTCCTTCAGTGTGTCCTCAGACCCCACAGCATCTACCTCCCAAGGGCAAGAATTACCCGATCATTCAAAAATTTATTATCTCATATACGCATGTGCTAGGAAATTTGATTCAAACAAACTTGGAAAACTCAGTTTAAAAATGTTTTATTTCATTAAAAAAAAAAGTTTATTATGTACAAGACTCAGGTATATAGAAACTCAGCTTTAATCAGAAAATGAAACTAGTCATCGTATTCTACTGAGGAATGTTTGTGACGCACTCTCTTCAATATTAAGCATAAATTATTTTAACTATGCAGGGTAATTTCTGAGTTCCACACCACACCTGCACATAGACATTTGCCTAATTTAAGATTGGTAATGCCAATGACAAGCTGCTTGTATTTATAAGTACAAATTCCATTATTACAAATATGTGATGATAACTAACAAAACAGAAAGGTCTTGTCCCATGTTTATACAGTTGCCATCTGAGGTCTTTCGCCAATTCCCCTTCTGGTGGTTCCATTCTCAAAGCAGAGCAGTTAGGCATTGAGTTCTCTATGTATCTCACCCATCTCCTTTATCTGCAACGAGAAGGAGCATGCAAGAAAATGTAATTAACTTTCAATTCTGTGTTCATTCAGAAAAGGGTTTTTTGTTTGTTTGTCCGCTCCCCTCTTCCCCCCCCCCCCCCCCCCACCAAACAGAGTTTCCCTGCGTAGACCTAGACCTGGCTGTCCCGGAATTTGCTATTGACCAGGCTGGCCTTGAACTCACAAAGATCCGACTGCCTCTGCCTCCCCAGTGCTGGGATTAAAGGTGTGGGACACTTCATCTTTAAGTTTTAAGACAAGGACTCACTAGGTAGCCCTGGCTGACCTGGAACTCAATATATATATAGATCAGACTGGCCTTCAACTCAAGGTGATCCACCTGCCTCAGCCTCCTGAGTGCTGGGATTTCAAGTGTTAGCCACCACACCTGACACAGTCTTTTATTTTACACATAAAGAAACTGAAGTACAGAATTAAGTGGCCTCCCAGACCAAAAGCCTTAGTTCCAGGCTGACCGAGACAACGCAGTTGACCACCATTGGTAAACATCTCACAAGAGATAAGCACGGGGCCAGCACGTGACAGAGCGCTCGGTTAAAGCCTTAGGGACAGGTTTGCACTTTCCATTTTGCAGATAAGGAAGCATGGAGATGTACAGAAGTTCTGGCACTTGATTAGCTGATAAGCGGTCAAACTCAAATCTTACAGTTCTAACACACTGCCGTTCTGCCCGAGTATTACACTTCAATTCAGGGTCAGTCCTGCGCTGACTAAGCCAGATGAATGAGATCAAGCTATGGCACTGGGAGACACTTCAGAAATTTCTCGTTCTGTCAGATTACTAATTCTTCCTTTTTTTTTTTTTTTTTTTTTTTTTTGGTTTTTCGAGACAGGGTTTCTCTGTGTAGCTTTGCGCCTTTCCTGGAACTCACTCTGTAGACCAGGCTGGCCTCGAACTCACAGAGATCCGCCTGCCTCTGCCTCCCGAGTGCTGGGATTAAAGGCGTGCGCCACCACTGCCCAGCCTAATTCTTCCTTTTATTTGTTGTTTTGAGACAGAGTCTCATGCAGCCTGGTCTGGTTCTCCCCCATGGTTTTGACCTCCTACCACTACCTACCAGGTGCTGGAAACACAAGTGCGGGGCACCAACACTCTTTCCTGTTGTTGTTTGGAGGCAGGGTCTCACACTAGTCCTGTCTGACCCAAACTCACAAGGGTACTCCTGCTGGGCTTGAACTCACAGGGAATACTCCTAGCTCACGTACTGAGATTACAAGTATGAAACAGCATGCCCCACCTCTCTCTTTTCTTTGTTATTTTCTTAGGAAGTGATACATACATGACTACAAATCAAGAGTCGTACCAGAGTTGGTGAGTGTGCATGCATGCACACACATTATCCTCGGAGTTCAAGGAGAAATTCAAAATTACCATTTCCTCACCATCGTCTGTGACTAGTTAGCATCTAACAGATTTACTAGGTCAACTTAAGTTCATCTTAACTGATTTTTCCTTTTGTAGGTTTTTCAAGACAGAGATTCTCAATTCTGTGTGTGTAGTTGTCCTGGAACTCACTCTGTAGAGCAGGCTGGCCTCAAACTCACAGAGATCCACCTGCCTCTGCCTCCCAAGTGCTGGGATTAAAGGCGTGCGCCACCACGGCCCAGCGGCTCTGTGATTCTTATAAACTGGTAGAGACATAGGAAAACAGCAGTCATACTGAATTTCTCCAACACTGCTCCACTAGAATATGCCTCCACAAGACTCCAAATGCGTTGAAACTAAAGCAGCAGGTTTGTGTAGCACTTGTCTAGGAAGCAGAAAGCAGTATGAAGTGGCCTGTCATGGAACTCAAAATTAGGGAAGTGCTCATCCCAAGACTGTCCCTAAGACAGCGTGAAGGATGTCGGTGAAAACATCTTCTGTCAGCATCTAGGAAAGGGCAGTGAGTACTGGGAGTAAGACATTCATGGGCGCTGGAGAGATGGCTCAGAGGTTAAGAGCACTGCTTGTTCTTCCAAAAGTCCTAAATTCAATTCCCAGCAACCACAGGGTGGCTCACAACCATCTGTAATGAGATCTGGTGCCCTCTTCTGGCCTGCAGGGATATGTGCAGACAGAAAACTGTATACATAATAAATAAAATTAAAAAAAAAAAAAAGACATTCTCAACATAGCCCATTATTCACTTACCTCCGCCTTCTCATATTTTGTTGACTTCTTCCTTGTAGAAATAACCTGGAAGAAAAATGGTTACTCTTTTAGAAAATACTACTCAAACAAAAGTGGCCAAAATGAACATATGTGCTTCAAAGCCATGTAAGCACGCGTATTCAAATTTGGGGGTTCTAAAAACTGGTTATACAGTACCAATTCTTTGAACAACTATATCAATACCGTAAGTACCCTTCTGGAGCAAAGGCTTCTAACTGACAGCGGATATAATGCCCCATATATGCATTTACCCATCCATTCTCCAGATAATGAACACTGAGATGGCCTCCCAGATTATTCAGAAAACATCAATACATAACCCTGAATGTGTTTCTTGGTCTTTGGTTGGTTCTTCCAGAACAGGATCTCATTACGTAGCCCTGGCTGGCCTGGAATTCACTGTGGAGACCAGCAGGCTGGCCTTGAACTCTGATCTGTCTCCCCGAGCGCTGGGATTGAAGGAGTGTGCTACCACAGTCAGTGAAGCTTCTTTATTAAAAATTTCTACTTTGGTTTCTGTGACAATTAGATTTCTGTATGTTCTGGGTGTTTACTTGCCAACTGAAGTTCCTCTTCTATAAACCACTAATCCCTACTTATTACTAATCTTTAATTAAAGGGAGACAAGGCCCTGCTATGTAGCTTAGGCTAGCCTTGAACCTTGACCTCACAATCCTCCTGCCTCAGCCACCTTGCTGGAATTACAGGTACATGCCACCCTGTCTAGCTTTGTGGCATCCATGTCTATTTTGTGTGTCTGAGAGGTCGGAGAACAACTCTCGGGTATCACTTCTCATTTGCCACCTTGTGAGATCAGGATTAAACTGTGACCAGGCCTGAGCACAGTGCTCTGCCCACGGCATGCTCTGCTGCCAATCCTTTTTGTAGGATCCCTCATCAACTTGTAAGAATTCTTTACATGTCATGCATAATAACCATTTCATTTTATGCATCATATACATTTCCCCAACTTATTTCTGTTTTTGTTTTTGTTTTTTTTTCCCAGACAGGGTTTCTTGTGTAGCCCCAGCTGTCCTGGAACTCACTCTGTAGACCAGGATGTCCTGGAACTCACAGAGATCCACCTGCCTCTGCCTCCAGAGTGCAGGGATTAAAGGTGTGTGCCATCACACCCGGCCATTTCTATTCTTTTTCTTTGCAATATCCTTGCCATGAAAGTGTGGTTTTTTTCTTTTTGTCTTTTGGTAAATACCTAAGCCAACCTCACTCTCAATCCTCCTGCCTCAGCCCCTTGAGAATGAGAACTACAGGTGGGAGCCACTAAGCCCAACCCAAAATGTTAAAAAGTTTAATGTTGGTTGGACATAGAGGCACACTCCTAGAGTCGCAGCGAACGGGATAATCAGTGGAACCCAGGAATTCTATCCCAGCCTGGGCAGACTCCTGTCTGGAGAAACAAACAAACAAAAACAAACCAAAACAAGGGGCTGGAGACGGCTCAGTGAGTAATGTACTTCTTACGCAAGCTTGAGGACCTGAGTTCTATCCCCAGGACCTCTGTAAAGAAGCCAGGTGTGGCTGTGTGTGCCTGCAAGCCTAGTGCTGGGAAACAGAGACTTAACAGATCCCCAGAGACTGAAATGCTGAGCTCCAAGTTAGGAGAGAAACCTTATCTCAAAAATTAAAAGATGGTTCAAGGCCAGCCTGGTCTACATAGTGAGTCCCAGGATAGCCAAGGCTGTGTAGCGAGACCCTGTCTCAACAAGCCTAAATAAATAAAAATAATAAAAAAATGGGAAAGTACAGAGGAAGACTCCCAGTGTTGACCTCTGACCTCCATACATGAGGGTACTGAGGGGCAGTGTACCCACAAACCCCTTCACACACAGGCACACACCACAAACACCCCATCCCACCCCGCCCCCACACAAACACACATGTAAGTAAAAACTCGTGCTGCAGAGATGGCTCAGCAGCTGCAGTAATTCCAGCACAGGCCACAGGCCTGGAGTTCAGATCCCCAGAACCCACAAAAATCCTGGGTGGGGGTGGAAACAGCCCTGAAGTGCTGGCCTTCGAAGGCAGAGATGAGATCCCCAGGCTGAGCACAAGCTGGCTGGCCGGTCTCACCACATCAGCCTACTCTGGGTTTGACGGAGAGAGCATGCCTTAGGAGTAAAGTAGAAAGCCCCAGTATCAACCTTGGACCTCCATATGCACTGCATACAAGTGTATGGGCACTTGTACACACGTATGTCCCCACACGTGAACACATACACTCGAGCATACCACACACACATACATATAGGAAAATAATACTGGGTCCAAAGTTGGTGGAACTGTCTGGTTAGGAAGGATTAGGAGGTGTGGACTTGAAGGAGGTGTGTCACTGGGCTTTGTCGGTTCAGAAGCCCATGCCCCCCCCCACTCTGCCTTGTGATTGTAGATCAGACGTAAGTTCTCAGCTACCACTGCTGCCTGCCTGCCGCCATGCTCCCCACCAGGATGGGGAGCTCTCTGAAACTCTGAGCAAGCACCCCCCAATAAACTCTTTCTCTTTATAAGTTGCCTTGGTCAGTGTTTTGTCCCACCAATAGAAAAGTAACAGCTGGGGACACTGAGATAGCCCAGTGGTAAAGCGCTTCCCCACTATAAGAGGCCCTAAAATCTAATTCCTAGTACCACAAAGCTGAATTTATATATTAAAATATATCCCTTTATGGATTTTAAGCTTCTTGCATTACATGGTTTCTTTCTTTTTTTTTTTTTTTTTTTTTTTTTTGGAGCTGAGGACTGAACCCAGGGCCTTGCACTTGCTAGGCAAGTGCTCGTGCTCTACCACTGAGCTAAATCCCCAACCCACATGGTTTCTTTTACTGCAAAATATCAACATTCTTTATACTAATTTCCATTGAGATTATCTTCTTCCATTCTATCCAATAATCCACCTGGAATTCATGTTTCAACACAATGGCCCAACTCTTTTCATGCTCCCATGCCCTGACGTGCCTGTCCCATACAAGTGGGTAACATAGCCAGTCCCCATAGGGTAAAATAGGAATTCTGTCTTTCTTTCCTTCCTTCTTTCTTTCTTTGTTTTGCTTCCTTTTTCTCTCTTTCTTTTCTTTTCTTTTTTTTAAAGATTTATTTATTTATTATGTATACAGTGTTCTGCCTGCAGGCCAGAAGGGAGTACCAGACCTGAGCCACCATATAGGTACTAGGAATTGAACCCGGGTCCTCTGAAAGAGCAGCCGGTGCTCTTAACCTCTGAGCCGTCTCTCCAGCCCCAGTGTTTCTTTCTTATCAGATGGGAACCAAGTGTGGTAACAATACTGAGCTGAAAATCAAGTTGCCATGCACCTTCAAATCTATCTTTTTCTTTATCTAGGGCAGTAGGGCTTTTTAAGATAATATCCTGCTGGCCTTAATGTCTCCCCCCTCAAGACTTTTATTTATTTTATTTTATGTACATGTGTGCCTGGTGCCCAGTACCTGGTACCTATGAAGATTAGAAGGAGTCAGATCCCTTGGAATTGAATTACAGAAGGTTGTGAACTCCCATGTGGGTTCTGGGAACCAAATCCAGGTCGTCTCCAAGAGCAACAAGTGCTCTTAACCACTGAGCCATCTCTCCAGGCCCTAGCCTTAAAGTCTTGATCCTCCTGCCTCAGCTTCTCAAGGGCTTGGAATACACAACTATGTCATCATACCCCACTGAAATTGGTTTATGAATTCTGATATACTGATGAGACCACCTGATGCCAAGCACCATTACTTAAGGCCCTGGGAAAAAGTTCACTTCTTTAGATCCCTAGTACCCCAGCCTTCGCCTCCCAATGCTGGGATTATGGGTACGGGCCGTTGTACCCAGTGCAAAGTTGCTATTTATTTAGAATCTCTGCTACGTGTACTACTTTTGATTCTTTTCTTGCTCACTTAAGCTTTGTGTTGTTTGGGGCCAGGCGTAGCTCCGTGGTGTAGGGACAGCCTGGAAGGCTGCAGCCTGAGCTCAGCTCTCCAGCACCACCACAAACAAAAACAAGGGTTGTGTTGCCCAGCTCAGGAAACATTATGGGAGTTCTCTGTTCTACTGTGTTCCGGCAGGAGCACTGAATTCCTAACAGAGAACTCTAGGCCGTCTGGTGCTGGAAGGCCGCGGGGCCAGGCTGCGAGGTGTTCAGCTGGAAGCGTCTTTCTTGTGAGCAATCCTTTCTGACTTTAGAAAGTGACTATTTTGTAAAAAGGAACCTTCACTAACATTTTCAAACTCGGATAGTTCTTGTGTTTGTTTCTTGTGATTTTTTTTTCAAGACAGGGTTTCTCTGTGTAGCCCTGGAACTCCCTCTGTAGACCAGGCTGGCTCAAATGCAGAGATCCACCTGCCTCTGCCTCCTGAGTGCCGGGATTGAGGATGTGCGCCTCTCCCCCCCTTACCCCCACCCCTCCACCATGGCTATGATTCTTAGCAATCCCCTTTAAGAAGACTTCCTCCAGAGAGCCCCAGCTCATTCTATACTCACCAGCACAACCACCCCTGCGATGATTGCTAAGGCCACCACCACAATGACGGCAATGATACCGGCCGTGAGGCCCTGCATGGAGAACTCGGGTGGTTTTTCATCAACATAGTAAATGATGGTCTGCCCAGGGTCCAGCTCAAGCTGTTCTCCATTTACTGTCAGGTCCATTTTCGAAGAATGGAACAAGGATTCCCCTTTCACCTACGATGGAGAGAAACAACGAATCAGCCATGGGCACCAATAATTACATACCAATTACATGCCAAGAGTCTTTACGGTTTTAACGATAACAATCTGATCCAGTGAAATGTTACGACACTGTTTATTACAGGAAAATGCCATACACACGAGTAGTAACGAAGCCATGTTCCTCCAGATTAGCAAATATCAACACACGGACAGTTTAGTCTCGTCGCTCTTTCTTCTGTCCCTTCATCTCCCACACCCAAAGTATTCTAAAGTAAAGCTCAGAGGAAAATGTCTCACTATTAGAAACCCAAGTTTAGCCAGGTACTACGTCTTCCATTTGTAACCCTAGGTCTTAGGCTGAAGCAGGAGGCCTACCCTCTACCATGAATTCTAGGTCAACCCGGGCTACTGTAAGATTCTGTCAAAAAAAGAAAGAATAAGAAAAAACAGCAGGGTGGTGGTGGTGGTGGTGCACGCCTTTGATCCCAGCACTCGGGAGGCAGAGCCAGGCGGATCTCTGTGAGTTCGAGGCCAGCCTGGTCTACAGATCGAGATTCAGGACAGGCACCAAAACTACACAAAGAAACCTTGTCTGGAAAAACAAACAAAAAAAGAAAGAAAGAAAACAAAAGAAAAAAAATAAACAAAAACATATGTTTATAAAAAAATTGGTCTTGAACTCAGTCCTCCTGCCTCAGTCTCCAGAGTGCTAGGAAGACAGGTATCAGGATATAGTGTGCACTATTACCTCTGGCCTTTTACTTTAATGTTTTAAAAATGGAGACAGATTTGACATCTCAGCGATGAAGAGCATTTAAGAGGACCTGAGTTCAGTTCTCAGCGCCCACAGCAGGCGGCTCACAACCAACTGTAATCCAGGTCTCTGGGGTCCAACTGGCCTCTGGTCTCCGAAGGCACTTGTACCAGTGTGTACAATGTGTACGTAGATACACACAGACACATGGAATTTAAAACATTAGTCACATGGAGACTGACGCCTAGTCATAGAAATTATTAGAATAATAGGCGGAGACTATATATACACCAATGGAGTAACTAACCAAAGAGAAAATAAGAGTTCTAAGAGAAAGCTAGGTGGACACAGCTTAGTATAGGCAGTTTTCCCAGCCTACCTGGGTACATACTGGGTTCAGTTCCTGACACAGCAAAGATTAAAACAGAAGAGTCAGAGGGGCGAGAGGTTGGCAGAGTGCTCACCTAGCATGTGCAGGGTCCAGGGTTCAGTCCCCAGCATGACAGAAACTAGCCACAGTGTCACACACTTGTAATGCAGCACTTGGGACTATTACATCACAGACCCTTAGCTGCCCCTGCTCCCCCTAAGATACCAGGCATGGATTTTCGACCACCTCGGGTTTCTGCATCCCGTGCTAACTCAAACTGTGCTTCTCTGCTCACCTCTGCTGCTCCTCACAAAACAACTCTGAAGTCTGGACACACTCCCAAACTGGCTTGGAGCTCTGGCCAGGCTCCCCTGCCCCCAGGAAAGTTATAAAAGGGTTCTTTCTGGCTCTCTGGCTCTTGAGTTGGTCTGCTCATGCCATGCCAGCCAGGGTAAATATCTCTATTCTTTTATTTTACGTTTTCTTTGCTTTAGATTTATTTTTATTATTCTTCACTTCATTTCAGTTGACAGCTGCCTGATGTGCTCCCTGGGGATCAAATGCAGGTCCTTTGGAAGAACAGTACATGCTCTTAACTGCCAAGCTGTCTCTCCAGCCCTACTTGACACCTAATGTTTTACAAAGTCTATATATAATGTTCTCCCACCCCATGGCTTCCGGAATGATGCACCATCCCTCATAATGCTCTCCTACCTCATAGTCCAACCACAGCCCCCGTGCTTGCACGGCCCCCTCTCCTTGGAAAGCTCATCTGTGGAAGGGTAATTTCACATCACCTCCTTTCCTGAAAGGCTACTTCTCTGTTTTTCTTACTAGAGCTCAGTACTTGGGAGACGGAAGCAGAAGCATCAGGAGTCCAAGGTCAGCTACACAGAGAGCTTGAGGCCCCGACTGTGTGAGAGCCTATCTCAAAAAGGAACATGGTGGCATGTGTCTTTAACCCCAGCTCTCGGAAGGCAGAGGCCAGCAGATCTCTGTGAATACGGGGAGAGCCTAGTCTATATATATCTTGAGTTCCAGGACAGCCAGGGCTATATAGAGAGATCCTATCTCAGAAAACAAACAAACAAACAAACAACAAAATACTAAGCTTTAAAAAAAATTATGGTTTATACTTACATCTTTTTCAAAATAGTAAGCCACATCAGCTATGTCCACATCATCTTGAGTTTTTTGAGAAGAGTTTTGCATCAGATCAATAGTGATAATGTTATTCTCGTACTGGGGGAGGGGAGGAGTGAAAAATACAAATTAATACAATTAAAATATACGCAAACTTTGTTCAACAGTCGTCAGAATGTTTAGAATTTGATCTTCCATAATCTACATCTACCAGGAGCTCTTTCCATTAATGAATAATTAAGTTTACCACTAGCAATTGAAAAAAGTCTTTGAGAGGTCTTCCAATCTAAGAGAATAAAATAGCAATACAAACAATTTTTTTTTAAAGAGTTAAAGCAAGGGCTAACTGGGTAGGATGGTTCACTGTCAATGTGAACCAGAACAAACCATCTAGTCACCTAAGAAGAGAGTCTTAATGAGGGACAGTCTAGATAGATTGGGTTGATCTACAGGCTGGTCTGTAGAGATTATCTTTATTATGTTAATTGAGGTGGTAAGACCCACACCGATTGTGGGCTGCACCATGTCACTGGCTGGCACCTGGACTGAACGAAAAGAGAGAAAGAGAGAGAGCTGGCCACGGCGTGCATGTATTCATTCTCTCTGCTCTTGACCGTGGATGGGGCTAGCTACTTAAGTTCCTGCCACCGTGCTTCCCCACAGTGATAACTCTAATCTGTGAGCTAAAACCAACCTTTGGGGGTTGAAGACACGGCTCAGCAGTTAATAGCACATGTTGCCCTTGCAGAGAACAGGGGTTCAGTTCCTAGCTACTAACCATCCGTACCACCACCTCCGGGGGATCCAATGCCCTTTTGTGAACTCCTGGGGCACCAGGCAAATCCATGGCACACATGGTACACATACACACATGCAGGCAAAACACTCATACACGTGAAATAGACCTAAAAATGAAATAAATAAGCCCCTTCTCCCCTAACTCGCTCTCTTCAGGGCAATGAGTCACAGTAACAGGAAAGGAAAGGAAGACACTGGGTAAGGACAGCCTAGGGCAGTATGTGCTGAAGACGATCACAGAGAGGCCCTCCAGGGTAAGAAGGGCAGGCGGCACGATTCAGGCCTCGGCAGAGACAGTACAGGTTTTCAAGGGCAGTTGAGGCTTTCAAAGTCTATGGAAGAAAACAACTTGGATTCCATATTAAGTGCCCAGGATTTAAACTGTTACTAAAATTCATTTGGCTACCATTAAAGAGCACTGGCTATTTCAGGTAGTGGTGGCGCACACCTTTGATCCCAGCAGAGGCAGGCGGATCTCGGAGTTCAAGGCCAGCCTCGTCTACAGAGTGAGTTCCAGGACAACCAGGGATACACAGAGAAACCCTGTGTGAGGGACGGGGGAGTCACTGGCTGTCATTTATGAACCATACTACCCTATCAACTTGCTGCTAAGGCTAGCTCATTTACCAAACAAACAAACAACTTACCAAAACATTTTTGATAAATGCTGGATTCAGTTTGTATCGAGATGTGAATGTCTCCTGAAGTGCACTGCAAATAATTTAAAAGTATTGTTTAGAAAAAAAATTGTAACATACAATAATAGAATCTCTACTTTTTAGGCAGATAGCTCAAGGGCTGTTATTATTATTACTATTAATTTCTTTTTCTTTCGAAACAGGGTTTCTCCATGTAGTTTTTGGTGCCTGTCCTGGATCTTGCTCTGTAGATCAGGCTGGCCTGGAACTCACAGAGAACCACCTGGCTCTGCCTCCCGAGTGCTGGGATTAAAGCCACTGCTGCCCGGTTATTTATTTATTTTTTTAAGAGAGGGTCTCACTATGTATCTCTGGCTGACCTGGAACTTGCTATAAAGGCCAGGCTGGCTTCAAACTCAAACATCTGATTGTCTCTGCCCCTGGGATTAAAGGTATGCATCAGTGGCTAGGCTATGTAATTTGAATGTTATTTTGCGACTATCATAGCAGTAAGTGGTTTAATCCAGCGTCAGTCATTTGATCCTAGAGCTGTCAAGTGTCAGTTTAATGAGAAGTAGAACAAGTTTACACAGTACCCACGAATCTGCCAACAGATCATTCACAAATTCCAAAGGGGAAAATGGCAACTTTACAATGGAGAAACCTGGCAGACCTGGCTTGTAAAGGGACAAAGGACATCATGATTTCCTGATATGAGTACTGAGAAAGACACAAGATAACTTATGTAGTTTTCCTGTCAAGGTACACAATAACACTAGTATAGATGTAATTACCATCAAGGTGCATAAACACAACAGTACGTACGTGATTACCGTCACGGTGCATAAGTACACGAGTATGTATGTAATTACTTACGTCTTCAAACTCTGAAGGTTGTAGGGGTTTTCTCTTTCTTTGTGTTTCAGTTGGATGGCGATCCAGCTGTAAGACAAGATGGTACCGTGTATAACTCAGTCTTTTATGCTGTTTTCCAAAGAGGCAAGTATTCAAATTCCGAAATAGAACTAGAGCTAACAGAACAGGTAAAGTGTTGTGGTAAACAGGCTTCACACATCCTTTACAGAGAACGCACCCAGAAGTAACACCCTTTCTAACATTGACCTGCTGCTGACAATTACAACACACGAGGCCGTTGAAGTCAAGGCTGATCGGCCATGCTGAGCCCTGTTCCAGAGAAAAGACAAAACGGACGGGCCCGGGAGTGCAGACTGTGGAACTGTGGAGGTCGGGCCTGGGGTGCAGACTGTGGAACTGTGGAGGTCGGGCCTGGGGTGCAGATTATGGAACTGTGGAGGTCGGGCCTGGGGGTGCAAACCTACACTGTGGAGGTCGGGCCCGGGGTGCAGACCTGCGCTGTGGAACTGTGGAGGCAGAGGCAGGAGATGACCCAGATTCGAGACAAGGCAAGATTCCAACGTGAAACCATTTCAGAAAGAGAAGGGGAGGGGTGGTGTGGCGGAGAGAGGGAGGGGGGAGAGAGTTTGAGGGAGGGGGAGAGAGAGAGAGAGAGAGAGAGAGAGAGAGAGAGAGAGAGAGAGAGAGAGAGAGAGCACAGAAACAGACAAAGAGAAACGATTGTCCACAAGGCGGCTCCAGAAGCCGGTGGTAACGAAGTGCAGGCTTTGGGCCTGACACCTTTCCAATTTCTTGTGCCTTCCGCTAGTCTTTTCTGCTGAAGCAAAGCTTGAGTGCATCTGTTTGTTTCCAGTAATCTCTCTCCTAACCCCTCCACCATGCTAGGGATGGACCCCCAGCTTTTCTACCCCTTAAGTCTCCAGCCCAAATAGCTTTTTTTTTTTTTTTTTTTTTTTTTTTTTTGGTTTTTCAAGACAGGGTTTCTCCGTGTAGCTTTGTGCCTTTTCCTGGAACTCACTTGGTAGCCCAGGCTGGCCTCGAACTCACAGAGATCCGCCTGGCTCTGCTGGGATTAAAGGCGTGCGCCACCACCGCCCGGCTCCAAATAGCTCATTTTTAAGACGCAAACAATGAGCAAATACAGTGTAAGTCATTCATAGTCACTTAACACGACTCCAACTTCAAAATGCAGGCCAGAGGTTAAGGAAAATGGTGGGGGTACACCACATTTCTGTAAAACCTGAGAGCCACCTGTCTACACCGGGACTTCACAAACCAGTTCTGGAACCTTAACGTCAAACCGAGAAACAACTACCGTTCCACGTGCATAAGGGAACACTTTAAAGTCACAGTCAGGCCAAAGATTATTTCATGCTTCCTTCCATTTTCTCACACTTAATTATTTGCCAAAGATAAGCTTCAGGAGTCAGATAATTTCCACAAAAATAACACAGTTGGACTAGAGCCAATAAAACTAACACAATTGGATTAGGGCCAATAAAACTCAACTCAAAACTGGTGCCACCAGTTTTGAGGGATGGGACAGGATTACTTATCACTCTGTTCCCTTTCCCTCTCTCTGGCTTTGTTTTGAGAGGGGATCTCAAGTAGCCCAGAACAGCCTCAAACTCACTATGGAGACAAGGCTAGCCCTGAACTCCTCATCCTCCAGAGCGAGGGGCTCAGGGGTGTGCATTACCATGCCCAGCTCTTCCTAGCTTTTGAATTCCAAACCACGAAGTCTTAGTCCATAGCCAAAGCTAAATTTAACTAAACAAATGTTGAGGGCGTGAAAACGGCCACGAGAAAAAACACTCACTAGGTCCTCACTCGCTCGGAGCAGGTTATTTCTGTATCCTTGTCGGTTCTTCGGACGCCCGCACTGTTCACGCACCAGCACGTGGCCGTGCCGTTGCACTGCTTGGCTTTAAAGAGCCCTTGCTCATCGCACTCAGGATCGTATAGCCCATCATTGTCCTGGATGGCCCCATCAGGTTTCTGCCTCCTCCCAGACTTACTGTGAGACATCTCCGCCTTCATCACCAGACATTTGGATGCCACTGAAAAGAAAATGTGACATCAAACTGAAGAAAAAAAAAAAAAAAACCACCGTTTTCACGTGCACCTCGGAAAACTTTTGAATTTAACGTCGGAGTCCCAGGCCAAAGATTATTTCACGCTCCCTTCCACTTTTCCCACACTCAAATTACTTGCTGGAGATAAGAACCTCGAGTCAGATAATTTCCACAAAATAACACAGTGGGACTAGAACCAATAAATTTCAACTCAAGGTGCTTCATTTAAAAAGTATTATCAAGATCAAACTTCCAGGCAATAAGGATCTTTTACTCACGTTTGGAGCACACGACAGTATGCTGTGAACCATAGGACGTACACTGGCATTCATTTTTTTCATTCAAAAAACAGCTTGTCGCCAGCTTGTAGTTTTCACAGACACAGCCTAGAAAATTGTAAAAGTCCAGTTTAAAACGTAGCTACAACTGTCAACTCCTTCAGTCAATCATGCCTTTAGGAAACTGTCCTGGGCCGGGTGGTGGTGTCACACATCGTTAGTCCCAGCACTCAGGAGGCAGAGGCAGGCGGATCTCTGAGTTCTGAAGCCAACCTGGTCTACAGAGCGAGTTGCAGGACGACCAGAGCTACACGGAGAGACCCTGTCTCAAAACAAACAAGAGGAGGAAGGGGAAGAGGTGGACCTGGGATTGGTGAGATGAGATGGTTCAGCTGTTCAAGGGGCCTGCCACCAAGCCTGATGACCAAAATCAAATCTCTAGACCCACATGGGGAAGAGAACTGTCAAAGTGTCCTCTGACCTCCACACATGTGCCTTGTCACACAAATGTGACACACACACACACACACACACACACCCCAAATAAATAATTCTGATGGTGGTGCGTTCTTTTAATCTCAGCACTCTGGAGGCAGAGGCAGGTGGATCTCTGTGAGTTCGAAGCCAGCCTGGTTGACACAGTGAGTTTCAGGACAGCCAGGACTGTGTAGGGAGGCCCTGCCTCAAAAATAAAATAAAATAAAAATCCAAAATAAAGAAATAAATGGAAAAGATAAAATTAAAAAAAAAAGAAGAAACATGTAGCCCCGAATTCTTTTCAGCCGTAATACAAGTGCTTGAGTGTCTCATTAGTCAGTTTGTGCCATTAGAGTGTCCAACCTGCTTGTTCCCATTTCCACTTTTCTGTATTGTTTATTTTAGGGGCAGCAGAGTGAATTAAGATTTATTAAGGAGCCGGTGGTGGTGGTGGTGGTGGTGGTGGCGGTGGCGGCGGCAGCGGCGATGGTGGCGATGGTGGCACGCGCCTTTAATACCAGCACTCAGGAGGCAGGGGCAGGCGAATCTCTGTGAGTTCGAGGCCAGCCTGGTCTACAGATCGAGATCCAGGATAGCCCGGCCTGTTACACAGAGAAACCCTGTCTCGAAAAACCAAAGATTTATTAAGGAAATGTGACTAAGAACTCCCCAGACTGGGAGGGGCCCGAAGGGAAGAATACTCAGGGGCGGTGCTGAGGATACAGCCTGGGGCCCCACTCTTGCTAGCTGAGCCCCTCCCAGTGAGCTACACCCTTGGCCTGTATTCCATTGTTGCTGAGATAGCCCGGGTTGGTGCCAAACCCAAGATTCTCTTTCTTTTTAAATGTATTATATTTATCAACTTACTGGGCGCAGGGGATCCCTGTGGTATGTGCATAGAGGTCAGAAGATAAACTTATAGAGTTCTTTCTCCCTTTCCATTACATGAGTCCTGGGGATCAAACGCGGGTCATTAGACTTGGGGAATCTGTTCTCCCCCTTCTACTTGTGGGGTCTGGGAATTTAATTCAGGAGTATCGCGACACACTGAGACATTTTAATGTCCCTGTCGTTTAAAATAAATATTTTTCCTTCCTTCTTCTCTCAGCACCCCACCCCCGCCCCTTTCTGGAAGAGTCTAGTTCTACAGCCCTGGCTCACTACCGCCCTCCAGCCTCAGCTGGCCAAGTACTGGGCTTACTTGCAACGGAGGCTCACTCTCCAGTGTCTTCCTCCTTTCCTGCTATCCATCACACCCTGGTCTGCTAGTTCCTTTATCTTTTCCCCAACAGGTCAACAATTCCAATTCTGAGATCTATGGTCCCTCCCGCCTTATCCCTCCCTCACCTAGTTTTCTTAAGGAATGCCTGCCTTGGGGGCCCAATAGGTATCTGTTCAATCTTTTCTTCATTAAACGGGGTCTGGTAGCCCAGGCTGGACCCCAGTGCCACACCAGGCTGAAGATGACCTTGAACTGCCAAGCTTCTCCTTCCCCAGCGCTGGGGGTTCCAGGTCCACGCCCTGGTGTTAGGGAATCAAGCCCAGGGTTTGCTAGGCACTCTACGTCCCAGCCCTCAATCTACAATTTAGCCCCAGGTTGAAGTTAGAAAAATACAAACTGATTAAACTGCATTACTAAGTGTCACTAACGAACATTGGCCAACCTCTGCTAGTAGAGAATGAAATCCTTCCCAGAAAACAAAAACTAAACTATGTTTAACTTAAAAAGTGAGGGAAAAAACAAATTCTTTCCAGAGTGCTTTGTTCAGTTGTCTCCACCTCCAGACACCATTCTAGAAATAAATCAAAAGTCACAGCAAACTCTACAGTAAGAACACCTAGGGTCAAACTCCATGTCCTTCTCTCTACAGATCGTACCGTCACCGTCTAAGTACAGTTCCCAAAGAATAAAGAGAGAAAAGGAGAGCAGCGCGGTGACTCAGGAGATAAAGGTCCCTGACCACCTGAGTTCGAGCCCCTGGACCGACGTGGTGGAAAAACTGACTCCCACAAGTTGTTTGACTTCATGCAAACACACACACACACACACACACACACACACACACACACACACACACACACACACACGCCCACAAGCCTAAAAGGAAGTGGAAAACTTCCTTTATGAATGTTGGATCACGATATAAATCTACTTGTTTTACGAAACCACAAATATGCACAATTTTTAACTAGGGAAGTCTTAAGAATGGAAAGATTATGGGATTTTTTTAAAAGGTCCTGACAGTTTATCCTTGTATTTGTCCTCCCTACAATAACATGGCATTAGTCACGATTCTTAGAAAAGCGAAAACACCTCCGGCAGGTAAGTCCCAGCAGGCCGGCCTCCGACGCGCAGGTGCATAGCGGCCTCTGGGGAGCTACCTGTCCCCTCCCGGGGCCCACATCCGGGGACCGTCGCAGGTACGGGGGGGGGGGGGCGAGGAGGACTGGCGGGTCGCAGCGACAAAGGCCCGCGCTTTGGGACCTGGAGCCCCAAGTTGGAGCCTGTAGACCCCGGGCGGTGGCCGCTCCGCCACCCTGGCCACTACACACCCCCGCCGGGTACACCCCACCGCCGCCCGATCGGAGCGCACGCCCGACCCGAGCCGTCGGGTCCCGGAGTCCAGTCACCAGCCCGACCCGACCCCACACCTCCGCTCCAGGTCCACGCCTCACCTTGCTGAGCCGCGGCCAGCGTCGCCGCGACCACCGCGAGCAGGAGCCCGAAGGCGAGGGCCCGGGGGAGCGCCATGCTGCGCGCAGAGCGGCGGGGACTCGCGGGGGCTGCGGCGCGGGACGGCTCCGGGGGACGGAGGTGCTGCGCAGCGGCCGAGGGACGGAGCGCTCTGGGCGCGCGGCGAGGCGGGGACCCACCTGCGGACTTGCAGCCCCGGGGCCCCGCCCCGCGGTGAGTCACCCGCCCCACGCGCCCGCCCCACTTCCCCGCCTCCCTCTCCAGGTGAGAGCCGCCCCGGTGCTCCAGCGGGGGGACGCGAGGCGGGGACTGGAGTCAGGCGGGGTACCCAGGGAGGACCGGATGTTGCGGACAGGATGACGAGACTGGACGTGAAAGCCGAAAGGGATACCAAGTCAAACCCAGAGCTTCCCCCGAACCAAAGACAGTGCTAACCAACACTGTCCTGGCGCTACGCCTGGCAGTTCACTGTTCCAGGACTTTTTCAAGCTCTTTAAAGTTCTATGTTCTGTGTACGAGTGTTTTGCTTGCAAGTGTGTGCAACACGTGCGTGCCTGGTGCCCGCGGAAGTCCGAAGAGGGCTTCGGACCCCCAGGAACTGGAGTTATGGATGGCTGTGAGTGTTAGAGCAACAGGTGCTCTTAACCGCTGAGCCATCTCTCCAGCCCGACACGTGTTTTTAAACTAAAGTGCTTCAGTTTTGATTATTATATATTTTTAATTACTTTTTATGGCATGAGATTATTAAGGAATTACGTCATTTCCCCCTTCCCGTCCCTCCCTCAATCCCTGCCATATACCCCTCCTTGCCTTTCAGAGTCATGGCCTCCTAGTCGTACATTAAAGAACAGTATTGATAAATCCAATTTCTTCGAAAATTTAGGGAACGTCTTAGAAACAAAGGACAGTTTATTTCGCTGGAAATGAATTCAAAGCACACTCTTTGTACCGTCTTAAAATAATTGTTATGACCTGGTGATTTTTATTAACTATTAAAATGTAGTTGGGAGAGTGAATGCCTAGAATCTTGCACAAGACCTGAGTTTACTACTCAGCGCCTATATGATGGCTCACAAACATCTGTACCTCTGTTTCCAGGGTATCGTTTTCCAAGGTATTGGCTGTGCTTTCTGAGCTCTGCTGGCACTGTGAGCAGTTAGATGGTGCTGACAGTTACATTCAAGCAAACTAATATACATACCAACATACACATCTTTTTAAAACACCAATATATTTGTGAGATTCTATACTCAAATATGGTCCTAAAATTATTCTCAAAATACTAATTTCATTTCTAAATTTGTTGGGGGGGTGTTTTTGTTTTGTGTGTTTTTTTTGTTTTTTTTTTTTAGATTTATTGATTTTTGTGTGTATGAGGGTTTTTCCTGTAGATGTGTATGTGCATCACCTGTGTGCCTGGTGCCCACGGAGATTAGAAGAAAGCATCAGAGATCCTCTGAAACTGGAGTTACAGATGGCTGTGAACCACCATATGGGTACTGGGACCCAAACCCAGGTCCTCCGCGCAAGTTCTCTAAACCACAGAGCCATCTCGGCCCGCCCCCGCCCACCTCCTTTTTTGAGATAGGGTCTCTATGAAGCCGGCCCTGGCTGCCCTTTACTCTGCTAGGAGTAAAGGCTGCTGTTTTCGAGACAGGTTTTTATGTAGTCCCGCGGCAGCTTACTACGTGGCCAAGGACAACCTTCAGCTTTTCCTGTTTCTACCTCCCAAGTGCTAGAGTACAAGTGTACACCACGCTTAGCCTCTTGTGAGCGTTCTTACCTAACTCTTCCAGTATGAGAATGCCTTAGGGGCTGGCAGTATGTATGGCTCAGTGGATAAAGGCTCCTGCTGCTATTATCATCCAGGGGTCTGATCGGCTTCATTTTTCTCTGCCAATTAAAGATTTAAAAGGCAGCTAAAAAATCTCGAGTGAAACGAAAAGCAGCAGGGGAAGATCTCAGACACAACAGACAGAGTCAGCCAGGAGGGGAAAAAGGCTTTTCTTAGGGGAGAGGAAACATCAGGAGCCCAAAGTCCTGGGTCTCCTCCAGGGCTGGGTTTTATGGATCTTTGGGGAGGTCCTCATGCCCTAATTTGGGGTTGGTCAGTTTGAACAAAGACGGCGAGGCTGATAGGCTCAGAACGTTGTGGCAAACTGTCCAGATCCAGTCTTGAACTCGTCAAACCGGTCCGCCAGCAGGGGGGCCTACGGGCTGGAGGAAAAGCTGGCCCGGCCTCCTTCAGCTGCCAGGCTTTTGTCTCAGGTCGGGAAGGCTAGGAAGAAGCCGGAAGTTTGCCGTCTTCATCCGCTATTTGTGGGCCCCTTCCCTAAATGTCTGAGGGTCAGAGATCCGCACTGAGAACCTGGTGACCTAAATTCAGTCCCTGGGACCCACGGCGTGGAAGGAGAGAGCCAGCCCCCACTAGTTAACCCTTTGGCAGGCACGGGCACTCCCCACTAAAATGGGAGGGGGAAGTTTTTACAGAAAGTGTTAGACTAGGTATCTCTACAGAGAGCACGGATAGAATTTTGGATGCAATATTCTTTCTAGCATTTCAAGAATAGCCTCTAACTCCCTGCCTGTCTCAATCCCTCGGTCAGCTCACAGCTCAGAAGCTGCACACACTTCCAGCTCTCTGGGAATGTAGATCGCTTAAAAAAGGTATTTGTCTAGCATGCTTGAAACCCTGGGTTTGGCCTCCAGCATTTCATTGGTGGCACAGGCCCACAATCCCTGCACTGGGAAGGATCAGAAGTTCAAGGTCATCCTCAGCTAGTCACACTGTTGGAGTCCAGCCTGGGCTATCTGAGACCCTGTCCCAAAAACATAAAACAAAATTGGGCATGACAGCACAGGCCTCTAATCCCAGCAACCGGGAGGCAGAGGCAGGTGTGTCTGATTTTGAGGCCAGATCCAGGACAGCCTGGACTACATAGAGAGACCCTGTCTCAAAACCAAACGAGCAAGGAGGAGTCTGGCATGAAAAGCAAATGGCGGCAGAGGCATCTACCTCCCTTGAGGGGTTATGTACTGAATCCTCTATTTTGTCACTGACGTATGAGAAAGGATCGAATAGACAATTATTTGGTTTTTTTTGTTTTTTGTTTTCAAGACAAGGTTTCTCTGTGTAGCTTTGGAGTCTGTCCTAGAACTCACTTTGTAGACCAGACTAGCCTGGAACTCACAGAGATCCACCTGCCTCTGCCTCCCGAGTGCTGGGATTAAAGGTGTGCACCACTAACAGCCCAGCTTATTCTTTTTTATGGTTGTTGTTTTGTTTGTTTGTTGAGACAGTGTCTTTTCAAAAAAATATTCTATTTATTTTTATTTTATTTGTATGGGTGTTTTGCCTGCATGCATGCATATCTATCCACCACATGTATGCTGTTCCCACAAAGGCCAAAAGAGAGCATCAGATCCTCTGGAAATGGAGTTACAGACAGTTGTAAACTGCCATGTAGGCGCCAGGAACCGAACCTGGGTCTTGCGGTGCTCCTAACCGCTGAGCCATCTCCCCAGCCCCAAGGAAGTGTCTTACGCAGCGGGGACTACACGCAAACTCACTGTGTATCCCTCCTCCCTTCCTCCCAGGTACTGGGCACAGGCGTGGGCCACCAGGCCCTGCATGATTCCATTTATATTAAAGTATTTTACAGCTGAGAAAACAGTGTGGGGATGAGGGGTGGAAGTTGTTTCCGTAACCAGAAGCGATACAGGTATACAACTGGAAAGTTTCCTTTTGTGTTCACGAGTCTTCCCCGTTGCCGACATCTTACAAAACCATGGAGCTTTATCAAAACTCAGACATTAGTAGTGGTGCAGTATTACTTATTAATAATATATTATTATTATTTATTAGAATTCCCCACTTTTTTTTTTTTTTTTTTTTTTTTTTTTACTATTCCCCCCCCCCCCCCCCATCCCCATGTTACAGTAGCAATGAAGGCCTTTTTAGGGAAAATTTCCAGTCAAGAGAATCAGTGGCCTGTAGCTAAAGTTTTCCTGCCTGGCCCACAGTCAGGACAAATCTCTCTCACCTGCCAGTCCCACAGCCCCTCAGACCCGACCAAGTAAACACAGAGACTTATATTGGTTACAAACTGTATGGCCGTGGCAGGCTTCTTGCTAACTGTTCTTACAGCTTAAATTAATCCATTTCCATAAATTTCCTTGCCACATGGCTCGTGGCTTACCGGCATCTTCACATGCTATTTGTCATCGTGGCAGCTGGCAGTGTCTCTCTGACTCAGCCTTCCTCTTCCCAGCTTTATTCTCCTCCTTGTCCCGCCTACACTTCCTGCCTGGCCACTGGTCAATCAGTGATTTATTTATTGACCAACCAGCAACACACTTGACATACAATCCCAGGGCAGTGGCCTGGGTAGAGACCTACCATTCCAGCTGTGCTGGGTCAATCACCTGACCAAGGGATCTCTTTTAGGAAGGTGGGTTCACCTTGAGCATTGCTAGACAGAGGTGGGAAAATTAGCCTTTTAATGAGATACTGTTTCTTCCCAGAATTCCCTCTTCCTGGTCCAGTCCTTACTAGCCGAGCAGTCCTGAGGTTCTGCAGGGGATGAAAGGTGCACTCTTTCCTTTTTCTTCTGTCTTTTCTTTCTGTGGCTGGCCAGAGTCTGAGTATGCTTTTTAGTGAGACCTGGAGCTTTCTTATTCTTTCTTCTGAAGTCCCCTCCCCACCTTGTGGCTGTCTGCTGCCAGGTAGCTGCCACCTCTGCTGGCTTGACTCTCAAGAGGCATGGCGGTTTCCACTTCTCCCCTCCATCCTCCTCCTCGGGAAAGCTGCCGGGATTTACAGCTTGCCTGCCCTGAGATGTTTTTCTTTTAAACTCTAATAAAGGTGTCCTTGAGCTTCTGATTGAACTCATTCTGAAATTCTTTGATTAATGAGACTAAGAACTTGGAGCGGATCCCAATCTCCCCTGTACCAAGACCATCCCAGAATCCCATATCACACTGTCTGTTGTTGCTTGTTTTTTAAGACAGGTCTCAAGTAGCACACACTGGCCATAAACTCACCTTGTAGCCAAGGATAACCTTGAACTCTTGCATCTCTTGCCTCTGGCTGGCAAGTGTTGAGACACAGGCATAACATACCTGTAGGTAATTTGAGGGGCAGGGGGTGTTTGTTTGGTTGGTTTGGGTTTTCTTCAAGACAAGGTTTCTCTGTGTAACAACTCTGACTGTCCTGGAACTCGTTTTGTAGCCCAGGCTGCCTTCTAACTCACAGAGATTCGCCTGCCTCTGCCTCCCGAGTGCTGGGATTAAAGGCGTGCGCCACCACTGCCCAGCTGTTTTGTTTTGAGGCGGGGTCTCAGTGTACCAAGTGGGAGTCGACTCGTGGCAATCTTCCCACCTCAGCCTCCTAATTGTTACCAGAAGCATGGTCCACGGTTGTTGGGGATGTCTTTCTGTATGCTGTGAATGTGTTGCTCTGGCTGATTGATAAATAAAATGCTAATTTGCCAGTAGCCAGGCAGGAAGTATAGGATAGGCAGGATAAGCAGAAAGGAGAATTCTGGGAAGTGGAAGGCTGAGTCAGGAGACACTGCCAGCCACCACCATGAGAAGCAAGA